GAAGGAAGGAAGGAAGGAAGGAAGGAAGGAAGGAAGGAAGGAAGGAAGGAAGGGAAAGGAGAGGAGAGGAGACAAGACCAGGGCCACAGTTCAAAGTGAGCAGTTCTCTAGGTGTCTTGGGCATAGAAGTATACATGCTAGTCTGAGGGTATATTCATAGTCTTCAGGAAGTGTAAACTGATTTCAGATCATTTCCCTTAATGCATATGGGAATCTTCATTCACAACAGAGGATCAGCTCCTTCACTTCTATAAGAAATTGAAAAACAAAATGAGTGGGCTCATGCCATAACCCCCATGCTGTCCACAGAAGCCGCAGGCCTCTTCTCAGTGTATGCCAGTTTTTACAAAAGACTCCCTATCTTTCCCACTGAATCTCACAGCATGAAATACCTGTCTTCCAGCCACTAGCCTTTTCCTCTGATATGTATGAACACAGAGATCAACAATAATCATTTTTCTCTTTCAGGAGAAATCCAATGGGGTAAAGAAGTCATACCTCACTCTTGGCCCTTCATGGCATATATAAGTTTCTATGATATGAACACCAAAAAAGTCTACAGTTGCAGTGGTTTTCTGGTGCAAGATGACATTGTAATCACGGCCGCTCACTGTTATGGAAGGTGAGGAGAATCATCAGGCTTTCGTTTCCTGAGACTGACCAAATGACTGTAGCTCATCAAGATGTCTCAAGTAGGTGAAGGATGGAAAAAAAAAAGTCAGCTTTTAACTCTCCTAATTGGCCTTAAATGAGCATAGGATACAGGATCGGAGGGTATGGGAGAAGAGATTGAGTGGATGAGGAAACTGGTGGAGACTGCTTTCTGTTCACTGATACACAACAAAAAATAGTCCATGTTAGACCCAAGGCAAGATGCACTTCTGTCCAGGACTTCCTGACTCAGCTGCTGCTCTGCCCTAGGCTGAGCGTTCAACCTCCTGGTCAGAGAATGAATTACAGCTCCTATAACAAGTCTTATCCATCTTCCCTTTACAGCAAAATCAATGTCACCTTGGGTGCTCATGATATCAACAAAAAGGAAGACACGCAGCAGGTTATTCCTGTTCTCAAAGCAGTCCCTCATAAGAGCTATAATTCTCAAACACTGGTCAACAACATCATGCTCTTGAAGGTATGATCTTTCTGCCTTCCGATCTACCCATAGTTTCCTAGGGACCATACAGCTTATTTGGGGATCTCCTTTCCTTTGGGTAATTGATCTTCTGGACCCAGTGCAACAGAATGGGGCTTGGGAGGTATTCCAGAATGGGGAGGTACAGGAATTCGTGGCCCTGTTTTGAGTGTTGATGAGAAAGCCAGGCCTGAATTGTCATCTCTCTTCTCAACAGCTGAAATATAAAGCTCATCTCAACACAGCTGTGAATACCATTGCTCTGCCAAAGAGCCAGGACTGGGTAAAACCTGGGCAAGTGTGCAGTGTGGCCGGCTGGGGAAGACTGGCTAATGGACAGTCTTCGAACACACTGCAGGAAGTGGATCTTGAAGTTCAGAATGAACAGAAATGCGAAAGCATCTTTCAAAACTACAACAATGCCATCCAGCTGTGTGTGGGAAACCCTTATGACAAGAAGTCTACTTCTTTTGTAAGGACACATTTATCTTTTTTTTCCCAAAGATAGTGTGATACCCTATTATCCCTACCCCTCCAACCTACCCCCCAACCATTGCCAATCCAAGGTCTACCTGTGAGGAGTGGAATGATATACCTGGCCTTTGGGGACCTGGCATCTTCCTTTAGCAAATATTTTGGTACAGGTACACAAGGAAACAAAGTGCTCAGGTCTCAGTTGAGCTAGAGAGAAGACTTAACCTTAAGCAAAGGCTCTCAATTTGGGTATATCACCAAGCCTGCTAACCTCTCTCCAAGTCAGGACAAAGAGCAATGGTGTCCACTTACCACTTTCTTTCTGAAAACCCAAGCTCTTAGTAAGGACAGAAAAAGTTAGACAGAAAGTTAATTGGGGTTGGGGGGAAGAGAGAAAGGTGTATATACTGAGGATTTTCATTTTTCTGTTTACAGGGGGATTCCGGGGGACCATTTGTGTGTAACAAGGTACCCCAAGGCATTGCCAGCTATGCCCAAAACACTGGAAAACTTCCTCATGTCTTCACTAGGACCTCAAGTGTTAGGTCTTGGATTGAGGCAACAATAAAGCTCCTTAAGCATCTCTAGAAGACAAGCCCTGTGTTCTGGGCCAGTGTTTGCAGCCTGGGGTCCAGGTACTTTAGTCTTAATAAAGAAATCTCTCCAAGCATGAGCTAGCTTCTCTTTCTTCCTTGAATATATTCTCTTGACAACTTTGACACACCATCTCCCTCTCTGATTTTCTCTTCTCTCCTCCTGATCACTATCTCCAAACACTTCTCAGAAGGTCTCCATGTGTACTGACCCCATGTGATCAGCATGAATAAACTCCACAACTCTCTACTACATGATCCTTTGGTTTTGTGTGTGTGGAGTCTCTAAAAGATGTCTTTCTCTCTTTTCTAAATTTCTCTCCAGAGTCAATAAGTAGAGAAATGGGAGAAAGACCGAAAGACATTGCCTCCCACCATTCTCCAGGAGGCCCAGCTTTCCCTTGCAGCTCTGCTGGGCCCCGATCTAATGGGGTCTCTCCTCCAGACTGCTGTCCAACTTAGTTCTGCCCATGACCTCCCCTTAATCTTTCATGCAGGGTTCTCAGAAGTTGCCAGGATGTATTTCCAACCCCAGATAAGACATGTTAGAATAGTAGCACATATCCTGTGTTCCCAGACCTACAGACATTAATGAACACTTCATAAAGTTCTTTTATTGACAACCTTGAAAAACAGCAGTGAGAGCACATCATTCTCTAGGGGACAAGAATCCGCTTTCCTGGACCTATCTCTATGGTCCTTTTGAAGAATTTTATGCTCCATTCTGGCCATGGTGTAATTCTCTGCCTATGGGGTAAAGGAAGATCCAAAACCAAGGAGTTCCTTTGTACAATCTCTGTTGTTAACATAACAAGGTTCACTCATGCTCAATACAACCTTACCTCCTGAGAAGGGATGGTATCAGGCACATCTACGTGCTAAGTACAGACTTCATGCAGATGGCAGCTTGCTGTCGGGGATGGACTAGCAGACGCCCAACCCACTGTGGGACACTGCATGGTACATGCATTCCCACGCCAAGGACATGACATCAAGAGCTACTTGTGCCTCTAGCCACCCAAGGCTCAGAGAATCCACACAGGGTCCCAAGGGGAGTAGCCTGTTCAAGTACTGGGAGTTGAACATAAAATAGAAATATTGACTCTTTTGTCTTGACTGCTGATATGTCATCCAGACAGAGGAAGCCTGGGAAAGCCAGAGCCACGTGGGCCATACACAGCCATATTGGCAAACATAGCAAGCATTCAGAAGGCCATGTGGTGACATGCATCACCATACAATCAATTTCAACAAACATTTGCCCAGTCTTGATAAGTTGTGGGTGTTGGTCAGTGAACAGATATGGGTAAATGCTGCCAAAAACAAGATTAGAGTCACTGTCATCATTAGATTTGATCTGACTTGATCTGGTTTGATCTGACTACTACAAACCTCTGGAAAAGGGAAAGGTCCCTAAGCAGCCTGTCCTCATGAAAAGCAAATTCTTCAGCTGCACAGAGGAGGTTAAGGGTATTGGGAGAAGCTATGTCTTCGTGTCTTGAAGCTACACAGAGGGAGGTTCCTTAAATGCTAATAAATTATTTTCTTTGTAGTCTGAGTGTAGGTTCTTAGTGACATCTCTACACATCTGCCTGTATGTTGGGAGCCTGCCTAACAGGTCTGCAGATTTGTCTCAAAGTGTATGATAGAAGAATTGGAGCTGTGACTCAAGTGATAGAGTGCCAGACTTGAGCAAAATAATTAAGGGAGAGTGCCCAGGCCCTGAGAGCAAGCCTTAGTACCAGCACCAAAAAAAAAGTATAGTAAAGATAGCACCAGAACTCTAGAGGAACTTTTCACTTATACAGTGAGTAACTCCTGTTGAGAATGTGTCTTTGTTATTCAAAATCCTGTTGGCATTATTCTCTTGAATTCTCCAGAAAATTGGAGGATATATCCTTAACCTTTCATGCAGCTAGAAACATTTAGTTTTGATGAGACAGTGGTCTTCAGAGCTTTTGAGAACAATTTTAAGACTGAGGCAATATTTTAAAGACTTAGAACCTCTAATGCAGTCATAATATTCAACAGGCGTGTATGTGCGTGTGTGTGTGTGTGTGTGTGTGTGTGTGTGTAACTAGGTAAATCCAGGGAATGAGTGGGATTGAGAGAGATGGGGAAATGATGAAAGGGAAGGTATCTATTACATTTTGTGGAAGGCAAGGTAGGAAGATCATGGTCAAGGCTAGCCAAGGCAAAAAGCATGAGAAATAACTATACCAGAAAAGGGCTGGAGGCCTAGTTCAAATGATATAACACCTCTTAGCAAGCAAGCTCAAGGCTTTGAGCTCAAAGTCCAGTTAATGCAGAAAGAAAGAAAAACTCCTAACACTAATAACACTAAATACATAGAGATTTAACCTTGAATTTAGCCAAAATGGACAAGAAACACCAAACATACTTATAGAAAATGTAATAAATATTAATACACATGCATATTACTACTTTGCCATAAATAAAATAAGCATTTATTTGAAAGGTGGTATTTATGTATATTATGTATAATCTACACACTTCTTTAATTATATAACTTATAAAGGTAATCAATAATAGGGCTATTCCCTGTGCCATGTAATTACATGACTAATGAATTATAAGACTAAACTATAATCATGCATGGTAAAAGTATTATAATTTTTACATCTTTCAGTTATATTGAAATTTCTAATCTTTTTATGGAAACTAGGGTTTTTCTGAATTTCTTATGTTACATGACTATTTTATATATTATATTACTATTTATAAACTTATATATTTATACTTATATATTTATATTATATTACTATTCTCCTGAATACATGTAATTCCTAAAAATATTTAAATACAAAAAGACCAAGTAGATATCACTTGCACCATTAATGACTATCATATTATCTCTAGTAAACTACTATTACTAGTTTGTTACCTTTGTAATGATAGTTGAAAAAAGACTCTCCAGAAAATGCTTCTTTTCTTTTAGCTATCAGTAAAAACAATCAATTATAGTCAAACTTCATATCGTTTAGGTTTGAAGCTCTGTTCTCAATAAACCCACAAACACTAATTCCTCATATTCTAAATATCCTCTCACAAAAGTATCTGAGTATACAGTACTTGAGATTATATTTCTGAGCAACTAAAAGTTGTTTGACACAGAAGCTTTAGTTTCCATCTCCCCAAAATTCCCATGCACAGGGTTTCTGCAGGATAATCCAAATAGATGAGGTCACTTGGGTGCTATTATGTTCCTAAGCATTCAAATTCTGGAACTACCTAGAGGATTAGAGAAGAAATGAATCAATGTGGCCACTTCAAGCCATTAGTAACACTCTACTTTGTTTAAAATATCTACTATGGATCCTAATGTTTACTGAAATAAATATATTCACTGCTTAAGCAATTTTTTAACTGGTCCTAGGGCTTGAACTCAGGGCCTGAGTGCCGTCCCTGAGTTTCTTTGCACCACTTTCAGTTTTCTGGTGGTTAATTGGAGATAAGAGTTTCACAGACTTTCCTGCTCTGGCTGGCTTTGAAGCACAATCCTCAAATCTCAGCTGCCTGAGTAGCTAGGATTATAGGCATGAGCCATAAATACCCAGTGAAGAAAAGTTTTTTAAAGGCACTGAAAGACACAAAATATCTCCATGAAACTGGAATGCCAAGGAAGCAAGCCATTTGGTAAGTTCACCACAAGGGCAGACTTGGACCCTGGCCTCCAATTCCTGACCGGTACTTCTCCAGTCCAATGACCTTCCTTATACTCTTACTCTAGCCACGTGGCTATGGAGCCTGCTGCTCTCAAATACATCTGTATAGAATGCCCAGTGTGACAGTGACTGACCAATTCCTTTTTGCTGGTCTGACAAAATGCTTCTGTAGGGACCTAGCCATTTATATATCTCACCAAAGTGGTGTTATTTGAAGAATTTCCTTATGGTAAATGTGACTTTACAAGTGAATGAACTTCCCTGAGAGTCCATTCTTCAGGTCTATACTAAAGAATCCCCCAAAGAGTCATAAAATGATACAATATGCATTAAGTCCATAGAAGATACAAGATACAAAAATATAATATAAAAATATAATATTTTTGGGTCCTTTCAGGTCTTTTGGGTCCTTTCAGGTCTTTTGTGCTAGCTCTGGAACCACAGTGAAAATTTGCACCAGGCATCCTGACAATCATTGTTAGGAGCACTGTTATACTCTCCTCTCCTCCAAACCAAACACCTCCAGTTCTTCATCAGTTCTTTCCATGTGCTTGTGACTCCACCCGTCTTCCAGGATACTCTCTTGTGTGAATTCACTATACAGCCTGAAGCAGAACATCCTAGACACAAGCCACAAGCTAAACTAACCTGCCAGGTGTTAACAAAAGATTTTTTTAAAGACTAGTGGAAGAAGATCCTGTCCTCCACCCTAGTGAGAAGTGCAGTAGATGCTCACAGATGTGACTTCTTGGCTTACTGACAAACCTATTTCCATTGCATACACTCAACCTCAGAATAGTGAGTTTTGTACAGACCACATGAGAAACACCTCAGTGCAACCTTCTGTAAACTGGGCTGTTCATTCTTTGGACAGAGGGCAGAGGGCTTCATAAGGCTTCAACCTTTTTCAGACAACTCTAAGGACAACACATGGAAAAGAAATTTGTTTTCCATCACCCTTCGTTATCTTGCAAAAATATCCAATAGTATAGGATCCAGGTCTTCCTGTTGTATATGAAAGCACTCAGGAGAATGCTGAGAGAGTTCCTTTCTGATGGACTCATAGAAGGATGAAGTCAGTCAGGTTTGGAAGTTATCACCTTGGCTATCCCCAGCTCTCCTTGTCTTGTCCACTTTCCTTCCAGTTTTTATGCCTTGCCACCGTCCTAAGTGTTTTCCTGCTATTGACTAGTGTCTAGTTGATAAATAATGTAATAGCCATGTGTGAAATACAATGCAACATCATACTTAAGACTCCTGCATGTGTGTAACAATCTCTTCAAATTGCAAGGAGATAATATAGAATAGTCTTTGCAGGGCTGGGGTAGGAGACAATGGATAGATAGTGTCACATGGATTGGAGTTTCAATTGAATCATAAGACTCCAATGCATAGAAATTATCTGGAAGGGGCTGGGAAGGTGGCTCAGTGGTAGAGCACTTGCCTTGCATACAGGAGGCCCTGGGTTCGATTCCTCAGCACCACATAAGCAAAAAGAAAAAAGCCGGAAGTGGTGCTGTGGCTCAAGTGGTAGAGCGCTAGCCTTGAGCTGAAGAGCTGAGGAACAGTGCCCAGAGTACAGGCCCCACGACCAGACCCCCCCAAAAAAAAAAGAAAAGAAATTGTCTGGAAAACATAAGCAGCAGCTGCCCTTGCACATGAAAGATATTGCTGCAACTCCCTCAGAGATTCACTTTTCTAGACGCAAGGGAAGAGGCCATAGATCTGGCTGGTGGCTGGCCTCTGACTGAGGCCACCTCATCAGTGGACTAGATTTCTTGCCTGGGAATATTTTATTGATACAGTAGCTGTGGTGAGAGATATTCAGAGTCACCATCTAAAGATAGGGCTGGGCAGGAGAGGAAAGAATGAGTGCAGGCACTGGGAAGATGGCATAGGGCACCTGGCCAGTCTCCTGCGTTTCTCCTCCTTAGGGTTCACTGGGATTCAGGGATGAACACAAGTGAATTTTCCATCAGATCTGAGAAGTGCTTACCCACTTTCTCTTTAAACCTTTTTTACTTGTCATTTATGTCCTCACCTTCCTAGATGGATATTGCATATGGTAACTGTCTCACATGTATCTAAACCTGTTTCTTTTCCTTTCTTCTTTCTGGTCACAGTATCCTGGGGCAATTACACATTTAACAGAGAAAACATCATAAGAGCAACTAAACTCCCTCCCTACACAGGGGCTGAGCTCAGACACAGGCTTTCTGCCCTTAGTTATAGCAGAAGAGTCATGAACTGTTCAGTGTGGTCCCCAGAAACAAGGACCAGAGGGGAGCGAAAAGTAGCTCACAAGGCCTACTGCCTGCCAATATCCATGGGTCCTCAGAAACCCGGGGAGACTGGGGGGGCCTGAGGCATATGTGAGATAGACTGTACTAAAAAAAATGTCCCAATAACTCAAAGGACAACTATCTACCACAAAAATGTGATATCGCCATCAAGGATACAAGCAATCGGCTGCAGAAATTATGAAATTGCTCATGATTCCATGTGACAGGATGCACTTAAGTTATAAGCAACTGCTTTGTGATGACATCAAAATCTATCATCTTTGATTTTTATGCTTAAATTTTTTCATAAATTTCATTTTAACATACGTGGTAACCTAACATGTCAATCTAGAGTTAGTTAATTAGTCATCCCAAGATGGTAAAATGTTGTGATTATATTTTGCACATACAGAACAAGGACATTCAGAAAATTAATAAATGTTACAAGTAAATAATATAACCTATAGAGAAAACACAGACTTGGGCAAAAAATGACTCGTTCGATACATAGGAAATTCAGTGTAACTGCTGGGCACTAGTGGTTCATGCCTGTAATCTCAGCTACTTAGAAGGCTGAGATCTGAGGATCGTGGTTCAGAGCCTGCTACAGCAGAAAAGTCCATAGGACTCTTATTTCCAACTAATAACCAAAAAAGCTGGAAGTGGAACTGTGGCTCAAGTAGTAGAACTATACTTTTGAGCAAAAAGGCGCAGGGACAACACTCAGGCCCTGAGTTCAAGACCCAGGACTGGCACACAAAAAAATTCAATATGTGTTAGTGCAACTTGCTATAAGATTCTAGAATTCTTCTTGTATCTGTATTAATTATTTTTTGTCGCTCATGGGGCTTGAACTCTGGGCTTGGGTGCTGTTCCTCAGCTCTTCAGCCAAGGGCAAGCACTCTACCGCTTGAGCCACAGCACCACTTCTGGTTTCCTGGTGATTTATTGGAAATGAGTCTCACTGCTGGGCGCCGGTGGGTCACATCTGTAATCCTAGATACTCCATGAGACTCTTATCACCAATAAACCACTAGAAAAACGGAAGTGGCACTGTGGCTCAAGTGGTAGAGTACTTGCCTTGAGCTGAAGAGCACAGGGACAGTGCCCAGGCCCAGAGTTCAAGCCCCATGACTGACCAAAAAAAAAGAATCTCACAAACTTTTCTGCTCTGGCTGGCTTTGAAGCCAGATCCTCAGATCTCAGCCTTCTGAGTAGCCAGGATTACAGGAGTGAGCCACTGGTGTCCGGCTATATTAAATTATTTTTAACCCAAGAAAATTAGTATCAACTTTCAGGCTGACTATATTCAAAACAGCAACATATTTAAATTTTAAGTTCAAACTAACATTTGTGAAGCCCCTGCATACAGGGAACCAACAGAGAAACTCAGGGTGGTCCTTCTCAGGTGTGGAAACCCAGAAATGGAAGAGCTTTGCCTACATCATGCTCATCAGAATGGTGGAGGAAATTCCAGCCAAGTGGCAAATCTTTGTATTGCCTCTCTCCTCCTTTAATCTTTTGCTATCAGTGACTTTCATACTCAGAATGTTCCAAACCTTTGAAATGTCAAGAGCTAAGAACATCAGAGTTATCAAACTGAACAGATACCACACAGTGCACACAAGTTCATTTGGCTGTCAAATCCTGCTCTGAAGCTCATCTATTCTGGCATTTCTTTATCTATAGTACCCTTCACCACCTCATCCACTGTCTCTACTCTTTATCTGATTCCCAACAGTTTACAGTTGCTCAACACATCCAGAAGTTGATTATGGATCAGGCTTTTCTGTAGTGTATTAGACAAGATAAGTGTTATGCACATTTTCAAAGTATTTTCATTATTGTTAAGTCAAAGGATTTGCCATCCAACAAAGCAGTTTATGAAAACCATGCATACTTATCTGTCACCTCCTTTGACTTTCTCACCCACCCCTCCCAACCTACACCTTCTTTCACCATTTTTTTAATTTTCATTTTTTATTCTTATTATAAAGGTGATGTATGGAGTGGTTTCAGTTATGTAAGTCAAGTAATGACTTTTTGAACAGTGTCACCCCTTCCCTCACTCTCTCCATTGGTTTCCCTCCCACACTTCCTTAATTTTTAAGATATATATTGAATTTTTGTCATTCAACAAAGTAGTTTCTTTATACAATGCAGCTTGATCTGTGTCATCCCTTCAACATTTTCGTCCTTCTTCAACCCACTCTTTCCCTTGTTTTCCTTATTTTGTGGTAATACAATCAATCATTGACTGAATTCTTCTTCCCCCATCCCTTCAATGATCTACCTCTGTTCCCTTGGCTCTACCTCCCACTCCTCTTGCTTTAGAAAAATAAAATCTGAGCTGGGGAGGTGGCTCAGTGGTAGAGTGCTTGCCTGGCATACATGAGGCCCTGGGTTCGATTCCTCAGCACCACATAAGCAGAAAAAGCCGGAAGTGGCACTGTGGCTCAAGTGGTAGAGCACTAGCCTTGGGCTGAAGAGCTGAGGGACAGTGCCCAGGCCCAGAGTTCAGGCCCCACAACCAACAAGAAAGGAAGAAAGAAAGAGAGAGAGAGAGAGAGAGAGGGAGGGAGGGAGGGAGGGAAAGAAGAAAGAAAGAAAGAAAGAAAGAAGGAAGGAAGGAAGGAAGGAAGAAAGAAAGAAAGAAAGAAAATCTTAGGCTCTGGGCTCTTGAAACATTGTGGTCATACTCACTAGCAACTGCCTAACAGTGTGTTTCTTACAACATGCTCACCACTCAGACTTTTCTGTGGGAAGAGAAGAGATACGGTGAAAGCCCTAGATAAAAATGACAGAGTCAGGTTGAAAGTAGTGGTCACCGACCTTGACCTTCCTTAATTCACATCAGGGTTAAAAAGTGTGGGGGAGTTAACAAGGGCTAGTCTGCACCTGGTCAGACTTCTGAAGAAGATGGTCCCTCTCCTGTTCTTCCTGCTGGCTCTCTTCCCCTTCAGCACTGAAGCAGGTAAGTGAGCATCCCCGGCCTCAGAGAGGCCTGGTCTGAGGCAGCACTGACTTTTCTTCAGTGCTGAGTCAGGCTATCCTTATGATCCAACTTTGGCTTTCTCTCTCCCCAAGTGTACTGAACCCCAACTCTATCACTGGATAGTGCACAGAAATGCAGAGAATGACTTTTTCAAAAGCACCCAGTAGGTGTCTCTGTAACCTTAAAAGTTGACTCATTATTAGAATAGCCAGAAGCCACTGGTGAAAATAGCGTTAATCCCCACTTGGGGACATCTACATCCCAAGAGCTCTCCTCTGACTAATACATGACATGCTAACTTCTACTCAGCTTTCACACACACACACACACCTTCTCCCAATCTGCTTAGCCACTCTGCTCTGCCAGACCCATACCCATACCCAGAACCACACTGAGATCAGTGTGGCCTCATCTCTGCTCCACAGCAGATCAAAGCATCCTGATGGGCTGAGCTCCCACCCAGACCCCAGCTCGTTTCCCCATCTCACTATCAGTCCAACTCCTTTATACTCTGCCCTCTTCATCCATAGGGCTCAAGACCTCAGGCACATTACATCTGGTGGAGATTATGTCAGCTAACAGGCACAACCTATTTGAGCTGTTCTTTGTGGATCTTATAGGCTTTTGTGGGATAGTTATCATGTACATCACTGAGCGTGGAAGGAAAAAGAAGCCATTGTATTCCACTCCGAGGGCATATTATGTTCACTTTTTAGCAACCCATTGATGGAAATAAGTAAATTCTCAGTGGTTTGAGAAGCACTGGACATTGAAGCAACCATGGTCAGTCAGAAAGTATATTCCAGATCTTTGGACATTTATATTGAATTCAAGTCTTTTACTTTAAAACATAGGTGAAACTTAAGTGATTTCGAGCAAGGCAGAGATCCTTCATCTGTGGAAGAAGAAAATGAAAAACAAGGGAAGAGTGAGGTCATGCTCTAAGCCCACCAGGCCACCCACAAAGCCAGGCTTCCTTTCACATCTCCTACTAAGGCTTTCTCCCCTTCTGTGTCCAAGTTCACACACATGCCCAGCATGAAACCTCCTGTCCTCCAGGCACAGGCCTTGACCTTGGTTTCTGCAAATCTACAGATCCACAAAAGCCTTTCTCTTTCAGGAGAAATCATAGGAGGTCAAGAGGTCATACCCCACTCCCGGCCTTACATAGCATATGTAAGCTTCTATAATCTCAAGTCTGTCCAGGACAGCTGCACTGGATTCCTGGTACGAAGCGATATTGTAATGACATCTGCTCACTGTAATGGAAGGTGAGGAGGAACAACTGGGTCTGGCTCAGGTAGGGCCCTGAGTGGATAGAGTCAAAGGCAAATAAATATTCTCCTGATGTTCTCCTAATTGACCCAAATGAGAGGAGAGTACAGCATTAGAGGATGGGTAAGAAGGGTTGGGAGGCAGGGAGGTTGCTGGAGACCCAGCCTCTGCACATTGCTGAATAGAGGGGGAAAAAAGGCAACACTATCTATATTTGCACTAAGGCAGGACTCGCCTGCTATTCTCTGCCTTAAGCTGCTCAGCTTCCAACCTGACTTCAGAGACTGAATTGTAGTATTATTACAATTGTCCTAGGACAATAGCTCAGTCTTATCCATCTTATCTTTGTAGCAAAATAAATGTCACCTTGGGTGCTCATTATATCAAAAGAAAGGAAAACACTCAGGTGGTCATTCCTGTAGCCAAAGCCATCCGTCATGAGAACTACAATAGTAAACTATTGCTCAATGACATCATGCTGCTAAAGGTACGAGCTTGCTTGCTTCTGATTTATCCACACAGATTTCTGGGAGCATTCAGCTAATTCAGGTTCTTAGTACCGTCTTTTGCTATGGGAGGCTGTTCTACTGGTCCAAGTGCAAGAGAATGGGGTTTGTGGGGGGAGTGTTCCAGGCAGGGGAGGTTCAGACATCCTCAATCCTGCTTTACTAGCCCCAAACTACCATGTAACATCTCTCTGACCAGCTTAAATACAAAGTTAAAATCACCAGAGCTGTGAACATCATTAACTTGCCATCAAGCCATGACTGGGTGAGGCCTTGGCAGGTATGCAGTGTGGCAGGCTGGGGGTTACTGGCCAATGGCAAATATTCCGACACACTCCAAGAAGTGGACCTGCAAGTTCAGAATGCACAGATATGCAAAGACATCTTCTCAAACTTCAGTAATGCCAAGCAACTGTGTGTGGGAGATCCCGAGGACAAGAAGGTCACTTCTCAGGTCAGTAACATAGCCATCTTGTGCTGTTCAGGCATTGACAGAGCAAAACTGGATACACATAGCCAAGCCTTCTTTCACCTCTATAGCAACTACTAATCTGAGGTCACTTGTGGGAGAGCCACATGGAAATCCAGATTTGTCCTCAATCCAGTCTCTTTGTCCATGGAGAAATAAAAAGAGAGGTGAGGCCTAGATTGAACTAGAGAGACACAGCAGAGCCAAATACCTTCTGTTCAAGCATATCACAGAGTCCCCTGCTGGGAAAAGACTAATGATGGCCGCTCATACCTTCTCTCTGAAAATGCAGGCACTTGGTGAGCACAGAAAGCAAGAAGGAGAAAATGTGCCAGGAAGGGGGAAAAGAAGAATCTCTGCTGAAATGTCTCTTTCATTCCACAGGGTGATGCCGGAGCGCCACTGGTGTGTAAAAACGTGGCTCAGGGCATTGTGAACTATGGTCATTTTGCTGAGCCTCCAGCAATTTTCACAAGGATCTCAAGTTATGTTCCCTGGATTGTGGGAAAAATAAAACTTCTGGAGCATCTCTAGAAGATAAGCTCTGCACTCTGGATCAGCATCCATCTCCCAGGGTGTGGATACCTGACTATTAATAAAGAAATCTTTCTCCAGGAATCATCTGCTCTCTCTTTCTTCCTTTAATATAGTCTCTTGACAGCTATGTGCCACCTCCCCATTCACCCTTTTCTCCTCTCCTCTTGGTCATTATCTCTGAATGCTCTTCACAGAGCTTCTGGTTCACACCTGTGCACCTCGCATCCTATCAGCAAAGACCAAGGCTCTCTGAATGACCCTCTAGGTTCAGTCTTTGTGGATCTCTGGATGACATCTTTCTCTCCTACCTTTCTGTCTTACCTGACCCTTCCCTATGACCTCCATTTACTTTCATGAAAAGTGTCAGGGAATGCCAGGGTATCTCTTAACCCAAAATTAGACCATACAATGGGAGTGGCATGCCATGTTCCTAACCCTCTAGACACATTTCTACTGTGGCAGCACCAGCTCAGCATTTCTCGCCCAAGACAGCTCTTCCCAGAGCCCTGGTGTGGGCCCAAAGTCATCTGCCACCCATTCAGTAGATTCTATCTCACTTATCCTGTGCAGGTATCTTGATTAGGTCCCATTTCCAACAGCTATCAATAATGGCCTCCTGTGTCTGAGATGATTGGTGCCTCTACAGCACAGTTGGAGTTTGCTACCTCTACCAAACATAAATAAGCAGTGCTTAACCAGCTTTTAATTGACACAGTGGTGAGAACAAACATGACTATTACTTAGGGGACTGTCATGGGCAAAACTCCATATCCATGTGCAGATCCTCAGGTTTCACTCAAGTAATACAGAGGGGTTAGAAACCAAAACTTTCTCTAAGACAAACCTGCTGTTAACATGACAAACGTCACTGAAGCAACCTTTCTCCATGAGCAGGGACAGGACCTGGTGCTAGTACATGTATGTGTTGAGTACAGACTCCCTGCAGCTGACAGCTTACTTACTCCTGGATAATGAGAAACAGCTGTCACACCACTGGGGACATTGCACATGATACACATGTCCCTGGATTAAAAAAAATTCAACAGAGAGCAACTCAAATATTTAGCTGTGCAGGGCCCAGGGAGTCAGGGAAGGATCTGAGAGCAGCTGGACATATAGAGAAAGTTCAACATAGGATAGAGATATTGTAGGCTGTGCTGTATGAAGTATACTGTCATTTCTACGGGGGACTGTAAGATAGCATTGACCTTAAAGATAGTATGGATGCACTGAATAAATGGAACCAGAATGTAAAGGCCTTGAGACCACATGGGTATGTGTGTGTGTGTGTGTGTGTGTGTGTGTGTGTGTGTGTGTGTGTGTGTGTGTGGTGTTGGTGCCAGTCCTGGGGCTAGTGCTCTACTACTTGAACAACAGCTCTACTTCTGGCTTTTTTGGTTCTTTAGTGGAGGTAAGAGTCTCACAGACTTTCCTGGCTGGGCTGGCTTCAAACTGCAGTTCTTAGAGATCATTCTCCCGAGTGGCTGGAATCATAGGTGTGAGCCACAGGTGCCATCTCCACTGAGGTTTTTTTAGAAAACTAGACTGCTCATTAATGCCTTCTAAACAACAACAACAGATTGATGTGACCACAGGTGTACCTCAAGATTACATATCACATTTGCCCTTCTGCAGTCCCAGGACCTTGAGCTCTACTTTCTTCCCTATTAATGCAATCTGGAATAAAACATTACTTTGTACACCTGACAGGCACAGAAATCAAAACTCAATGTAATATTGATGCCTATTTCTTACACTCAAATAGGAAGAGATCTAACTTTGAAATAGACAAGAACCATTCGAAATAATGACAGAAAAAGATGAGTAATCATAACAATATTTGTTATAACCTTTATATGCATTTTTAATATTTCATGTGAGAAGTTGTAATCTTCTAGAGCATTTCTTTTTCTTTTCTTTTTTTTTCTGGTGCCAGCACTGGGGCTTGAACTCAGAGCCTCATGCTCTCACTTGGCTTTTTCACTCAAGGTTGGAGTTCTGCCACTTGAGCCATATATCCACGTCTAGCTTTTTGCTGGTTAATTGGAGATGAGTCTCATAGACTTTCCTTCCTGGGATGGCTTTGAACCAAGATCTCAGTCTTCCTTAGTTGCTAGAATTTTAGTCATGAGCCACCAGCACCCACTTTATTTTCCTTTCTATGTATGTTATGCATTCATTGAAACTAATCAATAATGATTATTTACGGTGTGATGAAGGAATTCGAGGATTAATAAAACTATTAACATGTATGATAAAAGTATAGTGATAGTTTCTTTCCTTTTCTTAAATTAAGCACAGTAATGTATGCACTCCTCATTTTATAGAGATTTAAATATGCCTCTTCACCCTCCTGAGTGTACACAATTTGCCTACTATATACTAGGGTCTGGTTAGTCAACAGGGTAATGAGCAGGATGAAATGTGAGGAATCATGACACATCCAAGACACGTGTATTCATGTAACAATCTTCTCCAAATCCAAGCAGACACAGAATGTTATGGTATTTTCAAGGGAAGTATGGAAGACAATGAAGATGATATTTGCACAGGTTCAGAAATTCATTTGGGGAGATGAAAAATGTCTATGATGAGTGGTGGTAACAATGTGATCTTACTTAAAGCCACATGTGCAACCAGTTAAAATGTAAATGTTATGTTTTGATATTTCAACATAATTGCATGTTTTAATTTTAAGCAACCTCTGGGAATAACAACGTCGTTGTTTTTCAGCTAAGTGCATCCTGTTGCATGGAATCATGAGCATTTTCACAATTTCTGCAGCTGATAGCTTGTATCACATTTTTGTGGTAGATAGTTGTCCTTTGAGTTATTTAAGACATTTTTGGGGCTACAGTCTGCCTCACACATGACTCAAGCCTCCCCCCCCCATGGATATTGGCAGGCAGTAGGCCTTGTGAGCTGTCCTTGTCTCTGGGGACCACCCTGAGCTGCTGGTAACTCTTCTGCTATGACCAAGGACAGGAAGCCTGTGTCTGAGCTCTGGGAGTTACTCTGGGAGTAACAACATTCTAGTGGAATATTTGGAGAATAGAAGGCTTGTCGGGGAGGGGCCTCCATTTTCCTCTGGAGCAGTCTGCTTTCTAGGCCCAGGAGGAGAACCCCATCATCCCCAAGCTTTGGCTCAGCAGTGGCCAATGTCCAGCTTTCTCCCCTGAAAATTCTTCACCAAAATGGTAGCTGTACTGAGAGAGATCCACCCTCTGAAGAGAAGGTTGGGTGGGAAAGGAGAGAATTAATGCAGGCACTGGGAACATGGCTTAGAGCACCGTGGCCATTCTCCTGAGGTTTTCCTCCTTGGAGTTCATTAGGATGTTCATAAGTAAACTTTCCATCTGCTCTTCCTTCAAGCATTTTCTTTTTAGTCAGTCGTGGGGCTCAAACTCTGGGCTTGGGAGCTGTCCCTGCGCTCTTCAGCTCAAGGCAAGTGCTCTACCGCTTGAGCCAAAGCACCACTTCTAGTTTTCTAGTGGTTTATTGGCAATAAGAGTCTCACAGACTTTCCTGCCTGGGCTGGCTTTGAACCGCGATCCTCAGATCTCAGCCTCCTGAGTAGCTAGGATTATAGGTGTGAGCCATTGGTGCCCGGCTAAACGTTTTCTTTTCTATACAATTATATCTCCAACTCATGGACCTCCCAAATTTTCTCAAGGCCTATTATTTTCCTTTCTTCTTTCTGGTCACTGAGTCCTGAGGCAAGGACACATTTATTAGCAAGCAGCTAAACATCCCTCCCTGCACAGGGGATGAGCTCAGACACAGGCTTCCTGCCCTTGCTCATAGCAAAAGAGTCACGAGCAGCTCAGCATGGTCCCCAGAGACAAGGACAAGAGGGGAGTGATGAACAGCTTACAAGGCCTACTGCCTGCCAATATCCATGGGTCCTCAGACGTCCTGGGAGACAAGGAGGCCTGAGTCATGTGTGAAGTAGACTGTAGCCCCAAAAATGCCCTAAATAACTCAAAGGACAACTACCTACCACAAAAATGTGATACAAGCCATCAGCTGCAGAAATTGTGAAAATGCTCATGATTCCATGCAATAGGATGCACTTAAATGAAAAACAACTACTTTGGGGTAACATCATCTTTGATTTTTCTACACTTACAACTTCCATATTTTATTTTATCAGATGCAGAGTAATTCAGAATGCCAATGTAGAATCATTAATCATCCAACACTGAAGAAAATAATTATATTTTGCCAGTTGGCAAGAGGAAAAGTGGGAAAAAATAACAAGGATAATAATTCAATAGTGTCTCCTATTAAGAACACTCATTTGTGGGGCAGAAAATGAAAATGAGACAATCCTTGATATAGTCCAGGTTGGTGTGTGACAAGTGAAGCAAAATCAGAATAAATGTTACATCCAGCTTGATGTAAGAGTCTAGAGGTTTTTCTCATACCTGAATTAATCATAGAAGAGCCAAGAGAAGTGATCTAAAATGTTAGTTTAGTTGTATTATAAACTGAAGCACATCTTTAAATTTTACATTAAAAATTAACAAGCCGGGCTCTGTAACCCTAACTACTCCAGAGGCTAGGATGTAAAGATTGTGGTTCAAAGCCAGCCCAGGTAGAAAAGTTTATGAGACTCTTATCTCCAATTAACCACCAAAAAGCCAGAGGTAGAGGTATGGCTTAAGCGGTAGAGTACCACTTTTGAGCAAAAAGAACCCTAAGAAACAATACTCATACCCTCAGTTCAAGCCTCTGTACTAGCACATACAAAAAAATCAACAATACTTCGGCACCTGTGTATATAGAACTGCAAAAAGTAACCTCTATGGCTGGTACCGCACCTGACCCAGGATGCCTTGAAGTGGAAAAACTTTAGCCTGCATCACAGTCTTCAGTAAAGAACTGGATTGCCTGACCACATGGAACAAGATGATCATGTGGGATAATTCAGAGTAAATGAGGAAGCTTTGTTTCTCCCCTCTCCATCTCTACTTTCATCCCCCTATTGTCATTCA